CAGATAAGAGCAGTTTCTCTGAGAGGATCCGCTCCTGCTTTATGTCTCCTCGGGCTGAATGGATTCACGCTGAAGTACAAGGTGCATGAGAAATTTCAATGTCATTTTTGGCTCTGCTTCAACAGGCGTAGTTTGGCAGGGCTGATTTAAGATATGCAGTCTGTGTGGGATACACTGCTATTTATCATGTATTGATCTGGCAATAATAACCCGTGCTTTCCTGAGATGTAACGCTTGTGACTCCCTTCTTGTTCGGTAAAACTGACCTGCCACTTGCAATTCATTCAGCATGCAGCAGCACACCTTATTGTGGCTTTCAGCTAGCACATTCATCCTGCTCTGCTTTCTTTTTTTGCCCAAATCAGAGTACTTATAAATACATATAGCTCTGAAAGGGACTAGCATTGGCTGTATACGTGATCCTCTCCTTGATCTGTTTGATGGGACTCTGCGCACACAGGCTGTGTGGGATTCTGGGTTTTTGCCATCGTGCTAGAAGGCAGAAAATAATTATGATTTTGCTATGGCGGCTCTGGCAAAAGGTCATTTATTCCCCTCTGAAATTTGGCTAAATTAATTTCCACTCTTTAAAGCAGCCACAGATAAACATATTTTTCCCTGAGTGATTTGAAATGATTGTTGCTTTATTGACTGACATGTTTTTCAGTCAACCCACTCTTATTGTGTTAACTTTGTAGAATATTTAAGTTAATAAAATGTTGTTTTGTCTTTGTTGGTTACCTCAAATATATTTGTGCTCTTCAGATAAAATTCTTCTTGCTTTGGTTAGTATTTAAAGAAAAAAGTTACAGAGGTTCCATAGCATCGTTTATACAGTCCCAAGGAAGAATGCTGTCAGAATTTTAAACTCAAGTCTCTCCTTAATAAGCAGAGTCAGAAAGTCCAGTCAAATGACAGAACATTAGTAAGAGAAGAGAAAATTAATCTGAAAATTCAGAATTAAATCAGATGGTGAGATATAACTGTAGGTGAGTTAGCTAAGGAAAGCTGGACTGGCACTATGAGAATGCTAAAGAACAGTATTTGAGCTCTACAAATGAACAAGTTGTCTATCAATTTCCAGTCTAATTAGAATTTGTAACAAGAAGTTGATTTGCTTTTTGAATTTTTTGCTTTTAAATCACATTGACATCTAACAGAATGAAAGTTCAAATCCAAGTTTTAAAACTACTCTCCCACAAGCAATGCAGACATTCCCTGTGCAGGTTTGTCGCTTCCCAATGTATGACCTACACTTTCCTTGGCAGGGATTTAAGCATGTGTTTACTATGAGCTGGGGTCCAGACCAGTTTATTCTTTGCAGTTTGCAAATGTGGGGTTTAGATTTAGCGTTAGTGGGCAGAAATGTCTCAGGCACTCCTTCTCCAGGATTAGTGATGCCCACAGATGGGTACGGGGGTGGAAGCTGTAGTTCTCCATTGCCTTCTGGCCTCGCTGGCATGACTGGGGCCATTCCTGAGGTCTGAACACCTTATTTCCCCAATAAATTTTCTAGCTGAAGAGTCTCTGTGCAGCTTTTTTCTGATGGCACAGTTTGTAAACTTTGCTGGCTGCTGCTCTGCTACTAATGCTCTTAGGGAAAGGCTGTGGATGTTGTCTACCTGGACTTTAGTAAAGCCTTTGACACTGTTCCCCACAGCATCCTCCTGGAGAAACTAGCTGCGCATGGTTTGGATGGGTGTACTCTCTGCTGGATAAAGAACTGGCTGGATGGCCGAGCGCAGAGAGTGGTGATGAATGGAGTTAAATCCAGCTGGCGGCTGGACATGAGTTGTGTTCCCCAGGGCTCAGTTTTGGGTCCAGTCTTGTTTAACATCTTTATCAATGATCTGGATTATGGAGATTGAGTTGTCTCTCAATAAGTCTGCAGATGACACCAAGCTGGGCGGGAGTGTCCGTCTGCTTGAGAGTAGGAAGGCTCTACAGAGGGATATGGGCAGGCTGGATCAATGGGCCGAGGCCAGCTGTGTGAGTTTCAACAAGGCCAAATGCCAGGTCCTGCACTTGGGTCACAACAACCCCATGCAATGCTACAGGTTTGGGGAGGAGTGGCTGGAAAGCTACTCGGCGGAAAAGGACCTTGGGATGCTGGTCGACAGCTGGCTGAACATGAGCCAGCAGTGTGCCCAGGTGGCCAAGAAGGCCAACGGCATCCTGGCTTGTATCAGGAATAGTGTGGCCAGCAGGACAAAGTGTAAAGTTTTTCTAGTTTGCAGCCACAAAAAGAGTCACCTCACCCTCCTTAACAGGGTGGAAAAATTTCTTTATTGAAAGAGTGGTCAGGCATTGGAATAGGCTGCCCAGCGAAGTGGTTGTGTCACCCTCCCTGGAGGTGTTCAAAAAATGTGTAGATGTGGCCCTTCGGGATGTGGTTTAGTAGGCATGGTGATGTTGGGTTGACGGTTGGACTTCATGATCTTAGAAGTCTTTTCCAAACTATGGTTCTACGATCCTATGATTGTTCTGAGAACATCTTGGCCCCAGTTTTTAGTCTGTACTTTAATTCCTGTGATAATTTTTATAATTTGTAGAATCATATAGATTCATATAGATTTGAATCATATAGATTGATATAAATTCATATCATATACAATTCATATAGAATTGTATAGCAAAGAGGAGGCCACACAGATGGACGCATAGCCTTACTCTGTGCTGCGCTTCTTTGGGTGGTATAAGTAGCTCTCAGAGTGGTTCCTACAAATTCGAGTGATCCAAGTGTACTTGAAGAGTTTAGACACAGAATTTCACTCTGTTTTTCAGGAGACCTCAAATGAAAGTGTCTTGTTTTGATGTGTGAGACTTCAGTGGAACTGCTTGCCTAAACTAAACTCTCCAGCATAAAATCGATCAGATATTCAAACTTGTATAGTGGAAAGTCTAAATGTCATTCATTTACTTGCAGGGACATGACAGTCTTTACTGACTTCTTAAAAATAGTGAGTTATTTGCACTCCTTGGAATGTCAAAAAAGATGGAAAAAGGGATCTAGGGAAATAAATATAGCTTCATTTTTTTCCTAAATTCTGGATATCAGATTATAGCCTACCTATTGTAAACAAGGACATACTGTGTCAGACCAGGGACCACCTAAACAGGCACCCTGCCTTTTGTCCAGGAGCAAATACTTGAGCGAGAGAGGAAGATCAGAGAAATCACACAGCGATACTTCCCTGAATACCGACCCAAATGTTAGGGGTTTGTGGCTTAGAGTCTTCCTCACTGCGAGCCTGCTGGAGTCGGTGAGCAGGCTTGGTACCCTCAAGCCAAAGGTCTCTCTGGACCTGCTGAGGAAGCAGCCCCAAGCCAAGAGGAGCACTCGAGCCTCTTGTGCATCGCAGGCCGTCGCAGAGACCTCTCATGCCCATGGGAGGGAAGGTCTCCTCCAGCTGTGTAAGAAATGCTGGTCTCGGCCCGGCTGGAGGAGCAATCAGAGCTGCGAGGAAGGCCAGATTTTAAACATGATAAGCCACACCGTAGAAGAGTGATCAGTTGGTCACCATCCCCGCAGTGGAGTGCATGGTCTGCACTGACACCGAGCTGACCCAGCCTGACAGTGTCACCGCAGGTGGCAGTCCTTACAGTGTCCATTCCAGTGTGCAGCGGGCCTGTTCTCCTCCTTTCATGCACAGCTGTTTATTACTGAGACTGTAACAATTGTTGTAGAATCACTTCTATCAATAAATCGGTGCCAAAGTTTAAACCTGAACAGTTCCTTCGTGTTAATAATGCTAAATGATTATAGCAAAGCTGTCCTTTCCATCTGAAGTACAGGACAGACTTGCACAAGTTTTTAAAAAGGGTTGTGACTCTTAAACTAAATTAGGAGTTTCTGGGTACATGCTCAATAGGGCTCAAGCAGTAAAGACCTGATTATTGGCAACGCTTAAATTGATTTACCTCAAGTAAATAATAATACATGAAATAAGTCCTATGCTGAGTAGATGATAGGCAATTAAATTCCTTGGTTAAATTTGCCAACGTGTTACCAAAGAAGGACATTTTAGTTTTTGATAGAAAAGCAATTTGGTCTGTTTTTGAATGAGTCAGTTAATTTTTTGCTTACTGCAGCTTTTCTTGGAGTGGATGATAATCAGTTGAAAGTTGGACAAAGTACCGTGAGTTCTTTTGTTGTCAGTCTTATGGATTATCGCTCTGACTTAACGAAGAAAATCAATGTCCCCACATAATCAATACGTGAGAAACATTGGCCTTAAACCCCAGGGTGCTCCCAAAGAAGATTTACATAGAGAAGTTTAGACAATTTTTCAGGAAAAGCGCTAGGTCTCCTCCATGTGTTCTTCTTGCGAATGTGATTTCTTTTTCTTGTATGTGTGTATCTGTATAGCAGTAATGTATTATGACTTGCTTAATGATTTTCTTCACCTTCACCTTCTTTTGTCTTCATCTATTATGTCAGCATGTCCTGGGTGACATCTAAGAAATTTAAAATGTAGGATCAGTCACTGAATTCAGCTACTTGTATTTGGTCATAGTGGTAGAATCGAAAAGCTAAGAAGTTACTACTTTTTTCCTTTGCCTTTAACCAGTTGTTTTTATCTTGCAATATTTATTAAAATTCAAGTTAATTTTGGACTGACATATTGCCAGACAGATGTAGTAGAGCGCTGCCATGCATACGCGACTACGTCAAGCACTTTCTGAACCAGTTCAGTTACCACAC